GTTCGCTGCGTAACAAACTTTTATTTATAATTTTTATTATTTTTAAAGCATGTAACTGCTTGATGTTTAAATCTAAAGAAAATATAACTAGAAAAAATTCCACGCGGACCAGGCAGCAGACGGGACTCGAACCCGCACCCTTCGCAATCCGGGCGAATGCACTGACCAATTATGCTACCGCGGCCCTCACGGACCGCGTCGAAATTCCTTCTAGCTATTCTTAAGCTGCAAGGCAGCGCCATCTCTTCGCATTATAGGTAAACCCACAATGTCAAATGAATACTTTTACAAGTATTAAACATTTGAAAGAAGAAATAGCAATTATAGTTATAATTTTTATTATTTTTAAAGCATGTAACTGCTTGATGTTTAAATGCAAGGCAGCGCCATCTCTTCGCATTATAGGTAAACCCACAATCAAATTTAAACATCAAGCAGTTACATGCTTTAAAAATAATAAAAATTATAACTATAATTGCTATTTCTTCTTTCAAATGTTTAATACTTGTAAAAGTATTCATTTGACATTGTGGGTTTACCTATAATGCGAAGAGATGGCGCTGCCTTGCAGCTTAAGAATAGCTAGAAGGAATTTCGACGCGGTCCGTGAGGGCCGCGGTAGCATAATTGGTCAGTGCATTCGCCCGGATTGCGAAGGGTGCGGGTTCGAGTCCCGTCTGCTGCCTGGTCCGCGTGGAATTTTTTCTAGTTATATTTTCTTTAGATTTAAACTTTTATTTATTTCGTTTCAGTAACAGTTACATGCAAGTGTTTGTGGATTACTTAAAGCAGCAAAAAGCGTCTCCGCGTTAGCCACTGAACTGCGGTGAACCGTGCTCCGGCATGGTCACAAAATGAACGGTATTCAGACAAATAGTTTTTGCTTCGATAAGGTATGTATACTCTTCTTATCTTGGTTTTTCTGTGAGTGGAATAGGGAAGGTTTTTTATTAAAATGAGATGGAAAACATATTTTTTTTATTAGTAAAAATATCGTCTTGAAAACTTGGATGTAATTCAATATAGCAGTAAATTATCTATAGTTCTATACTAATATTATAAAGAAGAAAGATTTGATTGTTTGTTTGTATTGAATAGGCTCCGAAACTATTGAACCAATTTAAAAAAAATACATTGTGTTATTTTAAAAAAAGTTAGGGTTCCGTATGAAAACTTCCATGATGTAATCGGACGTGTAAAAAAATATCAATAAATAACCTTATATCGCGTACGCTGCAGAAGTCATTGACAGTAGAGCAAAGTGATATACTAAAGTTTTATAGAGGATACTAAAGTTTTATAGAGGACTAGCTGACCCAGCGAACTTCGTACCGCCCTAAAAAAATAGGGGTTGTCCAGCGGACAAAATTGTGAATCTAAACCATTCTCAGATCCCCTTGAACACACACAAAAAATTTCATCAAAATCGGTCCAGTCGTTTAAGAGAAGTTCAGTGACATACACACTCACAGAAGAATTATATATATAAAGATATATATCTATATATATAAAACTCAACGGTGACTGACATAGTGATTTATCAACGCGCAGCCCAAACCACTGGACGGATCGGGCTGAAATTTGGCATGCAGGTAGATGTTATGACGTAGGCATCCGCTAAGAAAGGACTTTGATCAACTCTACCCCCAAGGGGATAAAATAGGGAATGAAGGTTTGTATGAAACTTTGTCAATTTTAAACCGATCGGGCTGAGACTTTGCATGCAGGTATAAGAAGAATCATAGATGAATGTCATTGTGTATAATACAAGCCTGAGAACAAAAACTGTAGTCTACACTTCAGCTTTACACCGAAGCGAAGCGAGGGTGGGCCGCTAGTCAATATATATATGCTAAGACGTTGGTTCCAGGTGAATAATCTGCAGCGGTTCGCACCAACAAATCCGCATTGTGCTGCATGGGTGCATGCCCATTACTATTCTGTTCATAGAGTATGCCTGTGCGTGCCAAAAACAGTCGTCAGACCGGTAATGTTGTATGGATAAGAGTTGGACTTCCTTAAGGAAATGTGAACAGCAACTACACACAGCAGAGATGAAAATGCTCCGCGGGGGGAGTGACGCGCTACGAAAGGATGCAAAATAAATAAATATTTCCAACACTCACACCAATTAGCCTAGCCCCAAGCTAAGCACTATAAGGCTTGTGTTATGGGATACTAGGGTAACGGATAGAATACATATACTGTACATATATAAGTATATTTATATAGAAATATATATTAAACATCCATGACTGGAGTACAAATGCTCGTATTCATAACACAAACATCTGCCCCCACCGGGATTCGAACCCGGGACCTCTCGAGTCGGCGACACCATGAAACCCGGCGTACAAACCACTCGGCCAAGGAGGTCGTCATCAAATGATTTCCTCTAAGGTGGCACCGTTTACCTAGAATTTGAGAGAGAGCAGGCCTAGATGGTACAATCATGTGATGAGGCGAGAAGAATAGTACTCCGTGAAAACTTTGTTCAACATCAACACAAAATAAAAAACACGGCGTAGACCACCAGCCTCTTGGTGTCTAATCTCAAAAAATATGACCGTTGACAAGAAGGCCTTGCAGCTTCCCTGCCAGCTTCTTCCTTCCTGTATGAGGAATTAGAAGATTATGCATGTGCCCCAACAATGGGGACATTAATAGGCTGATGATAATGATATACAAAATTAGTAGCTTATGTATTAAATTTTTCTCAAAACGTAACATTATCATCATTTGAGTTCACACAATGACGTGTCATTAAGTACTCAGAATCACTCAGAAGCATATCTTTATGATTGTTTATCTGGTGGAATTTTTAGTTCTTTCAATACCATTATCTTCCTAGATAACAGGAAGCTATAAATATTTGCAATCTTTTATGAAGGTAAAATATGGGGATCTGCTGCCTTGCTTTGCCCTAAATTGTCTTAGCTGAGCGGCCAGTCAATGTTGCTAGTAAACAACGTCTAAGGATTAAACAATTCCAACGTAATAAAGATCTCTTATCTATTAGACAAGTCCGTCCGTCCGTCCGTGGTGCTGTTTCAGCGGCCAAACCGTAAGAGATAGATATAGAGAATGTTTAAGTTATAAGTTAAGAATAGTCTGATAAGACTACAAACCGGATGTGAGTAACGTAGCACTTCCGGTTTTCGAGAAATCACGTTCTATTTCAAACGAAACCACACAAAATCTCCGAAGTTCTCAATTTTTTTTTTTTTTTTTTTTTGTTGAACATTTGGTTCACAGGTTTGCTAGTATTGTATTAATGCTTGATGCACGGCTGTAATTCAACCGTGACTACTGCGAAAATTTGTTTTGGTATGGACATTAATATTTTTCTCAGCGGGCGGCCATCAACAAGTTGTTATTGTCACTGCGGTGTCCGTCACTTCAGACGATAGCTTGAATTAAACACAAAACATTATTACCCAAAACAAATCAGTATTATGTACTTGTTTTGTTACTAACCCACTATGGGTCCATTGTTATCCGAAATAAAGGATTATTTTTATTATCTCATTTATTTTATTTCATAGTTAGGTTTTTTATAATAAAATAAAAATAAAATAAAAAGCCTTTTTATTTCCATACTTAAAGTTTAAACTTCTTACAATCTATTTTAGTGTTAGTTCATGTAGTTTAATCTATGTTAGTATAATTTCTTTTTTCTCTACTTAATTCTATGTGTATCCTACTGTCTATATTAATTTTTATAAAAGTATTTTAAATTTAATCTACTGGAACCCCAAGTTGGCTGAAGGCCTCCTCCAGTGACGCCCATTTGTCTCTGTCTTCAGCTACTTTTCTCCAGTATGGACCAGCTATCGCTTTAATGTCATCTTCCCATCGTGTAATAGGTCTACCTTTTGTTCTTTTGCCTAGTGGGCCATTCCAGAAAGTTACTTTTTTGGTCCATCTATGGTCAGTTAGCCGGGCAACATGTCCTGCCCACTTCCATTTCAATTTTTTTGCGTAGCTTAAAGCGTTTGTTGCTTTGGTTATTTTTCTTATTTTAGTATGACGTATTTTATCTAATTTTCTAATCTTTAGCATGCTTCTTTCGAGTCCTCTCTGACAGAGAGGTTTTTTATAAATAGATATAAAAGTAAAATACAAAAACGTAAATACAAAAATTAATATAGTATAAAAACCTAACCTAGAAGGCCACCAGGTGCGGAGCTAGGCCCAAGCTACCGGTGGTTAGGGCCGCAGAGAAAGAAACCGCCTGACGATGCGCGCCGTGTCCAGGAGTACTGCCTTTTGAACCAACCATCTAGCGAGAGGCTCTTTAGATGTTGGTCGAAACTCTTCGCTATGAGACCGTTCACACTAACGACTATAGGGACAATGATCGTCGAATCTACGGTACGTCCCACAAATTATTATTATTTGACAATTGTATGAAATGAAAATTTTAAATTGTAATCTAATTTATAGTATTAATGGTTGTAATATTTTATTATTTCATGCATGTATTTATGAATAATTCTATGATATTTATTACTTGTTCATTATGGAAATAAAGAGGCTATATTATTATTATTTTTTTTTTAAGAAATGTAATTGGCAGATAAAAAAATGGAAACATTACGATTGCGATTTTAATAATGCAGTATAAATCAATTACAATAGTAAAGATCGTTCACCGAAGGCCACCAGCAGCGGACTCTGGCCGTACCCTAAGGGTACGCGAGAAATAAACAGTGTAGTTAAAGCAAGGTGGCCATAGTGGCAGCAGGCAACCTGCTTAGACTACACTGTATATTTCTCGCGCTTGTTTTCTGTGTCTGAATCTGAATCTGAGTGCACTCTGGCCGTACCCCAAGGGTACGTGAGAAATAAACAGTGTAGTTAAAGCAGGGTGGCCATAGTGGCCGCAGGCAACCTGCTTAAACTACACTGTATATTTCTCGCGCTTGTTTTCTGAGTCTGAATCTGAATCTGAATCTGAGTGCACTCTGGCCGCACCCTTACGATTGTGCGCCGACCGCCGACCGGCTGCCGAACAACGTGAGCGGGAAATTGTGAATAGTTTGTGGAAAGCTGCGGTCGCGGGCGCACGGTTTGTCCCGCGAAATTTGTCAGAACGGAATGTGTGATAGTATTTTGTTGATGTGAATTCGGACTTTACTAGTGTTTTTGAGCATTGGTTTTGCGGCAAATTGATATTTGTCGCTTGTTGGTTATGTGAAACGTCACAGAAAGTGATTTGAGTGTTTGTGTTCGGCGCTGTAAATTTTCCAGGTAAGTGCAGTATTTTTATTTTATTTTTAATGTTTGTTGACTGCATATTTTGCAAATAGAAGTTTCTATTTTAGGGTTCCTTGCCCAACAAGATAATAATTGCTAATTGCTAAGATAGGCTTCATCCGTCAGTCTGTCAGCGGGTTAATTTTTTCAAGCCGCAGTATGCAGACAGATGCAATTTTCACAGCAGCATTATTTTCCCGTAGAGTACAAAACAAGATTCTAACAATAATTACTTCATGGCGATTAATGTGTGTGCGATATTAAAGTTTTAAGTGTTACTTTAAACGCAAATAAATTAAAAAAATAGTTTCTAACGAATCCTCTATTTTGTATTTTATCTACACACATCAAAAGTGTCTAGGGATCAACATATATTTTTGCAATAACTTTTCTCCTGATTGATATTAATTAAAATTTTCTTTAAGGATTCATCAAATAAAGTGTTTTCGTTTGTCACAGTAACGATAAACCAAGTCACCTTTGCATTAATAAAGAAATTTGCCATTTTCCTAATAAAGGGATTTTTGACATTTGAACCACTAACACAAAAGTTCGAAAAAAAGACTGAAATAACAGTTTTCTCTAAAATTTTATTGGGTAACTTAAACAATTAATAATCCGTATTTCTACCGCGAACACAAGAACATCGGTTTGGCATACTCAAAATGAGTTCATCCAAATCACGCTGTGGAATGGCCGCCCATGTTCGTTGCAACAACAAAAAAAGGTCTTCTTGCGACTGGATACCCTCCATATTCGGCAGAGCTCTTCTCTGTAGCATATCCCATGCATGCTCAATCGGGTTCAAGTCTGGCGACTGAGCAGGCCAGGGCAGGACATTGATGTTAGCTGCGGCGAGAGTCTGTCTTACAACTCTTGCGGTGTGCGGTCGTGCATTATCATGCATTAACTGAAATAAGGGACCGATTTGCACTTGTAGAGGAACGATGACGTCTGATACAATCGTCTCAGCATAAATTTGAGCGTTGAGGTTGCCTCTGATCCAAATCAACTCAGTTCTTCCGCCGATCCAAATACCCGCCCATACCATGATGGTTCCACCACTATAAGGATGGACTTCCTGGCAGGATTTTAATCGCTGTTGGCGTCCAGGGGTTCTCCAGTGTCGTATACGTCTTGTATCCGGTCTCATACCAAAACGAGACTCATCAGAAAAGCACACGAAACGCCATTGTTCTTCTGCCCAATTTCCGTGTTCAAGAGCCCATTGATATCGAATCCTACGATTGTGCATTGCTATAGGTGGTACCCGTAGCGGTCTTCGGGAATGAAGGTTCACTTCATGCAAGCGGTTTCTGACTGTTTGGTCGCTAATTAAGTTCCCTGAAGAGTGATGAAGCCTCACGGCTAACATCATGGCGGTTATTGTTGGAGCTCTTCGAGTTAAGATTTGAATGTATCGGTCTTGTCTCCGTGTGGTGCAGCGATACCGTCCTCCATGGCGCTCAGCCACGGTACCAGTGCTTCGGTATCGTGTCCAAAGTCGACTGATAACACTCTGACTTGTATTCATTCCAGAACCAGCTTCTATCATTCCCACGGCTCTGAGCATTTCTTCCCTGCTTAAATGACGTCGCCGCTCCATAATAACGTTGGTTTTAATCAGTAGTAGGGAAACAGTAGCACTAATAATGTCTTCAATGCGTTGTATGTTTTTATAGGGAAAATATTGACAGCTGATTTTCATCTTTTACTCGAATTTGATTCACAGTTCCTGATTCAAATTATGAAATGCACCAAAAAGGATCCATATAAATTTATAAAATCATAAATTTATTACAAAGCCACATCTCAATCTCAAGAAATCCGCATAAAAATGCTTGATCCCTAGACACTTTTGATGTGTGTATTTTCTTGTTGAAAATGATGTGAATTTTTTACCCGTGTCGCATATTTAACCAGAAGTTGCAAATCCTAGGAAAATTTTCCAAATAAAATTATTAGAGTACAAAATATTGAACCACCAATAAAATGTCCACTAGCAGAAAAAAATGCAATTCTATGCTATAATTTAAGTACCTAGGTCACTTTTGTTTTCCATATTAAAAAAGATATGAATTAATCCTAGAGAATTTTATAACAACTATTTTTATATTACTACTAATATAGCCAAGTTTTCGTGTTTACATTTTTTTAATGCTTAATAGTAAGGCTGTTTGACCACAATCTCGCCTGATGAAAAGTGATGATGAGGCCTAGGATGGTAGACGCGTGTCTAGAAGATGCCTTTACATTCAGGGCTTTGTACCATAATGGTAGAATTATCAAAGAAAAAAAAAGATTTAAAAAAAAATGATATTTGTTGGTAGAATAAACACAATAAAAAAACCTTATCACCAAATTTGAAGTTCATAGGTCATTGGGAAGTAAAAAAGTATTTGGAAATAAATTTGGTAACCGAAAGCTGTTACAGCTCCCTTCGGTCGTTTTAGAACCCAAAAACAACAACATAAAGATATTTCATTATTTACAATGCAGATTAAAGAAGAAATAAATTTACATCTTTAAAGCGAAAAATATATTATCAAGAAGATAGGCATCCGATAACGGAGTCGATAGGATCATTCGACAGCAGATAGAAAATCTTCCAAAGCCTTTGGCTAATCCCACAAAAAACATTTTTTTAATCAAGGAGTGTTTTTTCTATATTGTAAGGATAGGTAATATCACAGTTTTAATTTCAATTGTTACCTCGTTTCTATATTAATTTATTGGTGTCGATTCTGGCATGATTCTCTTTTTTTTTTTCAACACACATCAATTGGCCTAGCCCCAAAGTAAGCACTATAAGGCTTGTGTTATGGGATACTAGGGTAACGGATAGAATACACATACTTAACATATATAATTATATTTATATAGAAATACATATTTAAACATCCATGACTGGAGTACAAACGCTCGTGTTCATCACACAAATATCTGCCCCCCACCGGGATTCGAACCCGGGACCTCTCGAGTCGGCGGCGACGCCATGAAACCCGGTGTACAAACCACTCGGCCACGGAGGTCGTGGCCCTAACCCTAAACTTAAATTTGACAACAGTCAAATCCTGTATACTTGTCATTCTCTACACAGAACGAAAAGGAGAGACTGATGTTAAAATTAGTTTTAAGTTTAGAGAATTATGCCGGAATTGACACCATTGTCTTATCATTATCACACACTCACATAGCAATAAGATAAGATCTTGTAGGTAAGTAAGAAGTAAGTACTCAGACACGAGTAGATATCGCATTGCACTTGTTTAAAATTACATAACGAGTTTAAACAATAAGGCTTTTCTTTTTTAATTAACGAGCGAGGTGTTTGATCCTTCGATTAGATTAAGGCCACGTCACATCGAGAGCAGACGTGGCTAAGGCCCACTGCAGTAATAAACTTTATCAGAATGCGCTTATCAAGAGCGTTTCCACGTTCGTCGTCAGCGTGACGATAGAAAATAAGTACACTTGCAACGAATATTCGGTTACTATTCGGTATTCGGCCTATTAGGCTGCTTTTATTATATTCGGCCGAATACCGAATATCTACATATTATTCGGCAGAATACCGAATACTTAAAAAATATATTTTGTCATAGAGAAATAATAGCTAAAATGAAAAATTAAAATCGATTGATTACGTTTATATTCATATTTTCATTTCTGTTATATAATCATTTAAGTAGTCATTGGTACATAACACAGGTACATAATCATCTTCTGAATTGGAAAAATGGAGGATTCTATGTATTTGAATTATTGTGGAAATCAAAATTTGGAAGGGTAAGGTTCTCATTTCCTTTATATAATCATTTATTAGGAAGTCATTGGTACATAAAACAGGTACATAATTTAATCATTTTCTGTATTAAACAAGTAAACAGTTTTTAATTCATTCAGTCATGTGATGAATGGTTACATACTCGTAATTGCAAAAATTTAAAGTTTACGCGCGTTTTTGGCCATATCTCAAAAGTTGGTTTTGTCATTTAGCCGCATTTTAGCTTGAGGACGGCAGATTAGAACAAAGCAAATGAGCGCGAAACAATCACGTCTGTACAAGTTTTTGGCGCTAAAATCCAGCCGAATACTTTTGCCTAATATTCGGCTATTCGTTCAGGGGCCTCGCCGAATATTCGGTATTCGGTATACTGCCGAATATACTATTCGTTGCAAGTGTAAAAATAAGTCATTGAGTTGTTCCGCGTCTTTTGCTTTTTAACATAACATGGATATTACGACCCTATTGACGATCTCCGTGGCCGAGTGGTTTGTACGCCAGGTTTCTTGGTGTCTCCTATTTGAGAGGTCCCGTGTTCGAATTTCAGTGGTGGCAGATGTTTGTGTGATGAATACGAGCTTTGTACTCCAGTCATGGATGTTTAATGTATTTCTGTATAAATATACCTATGTATGTACAGTATATGTATTGTATCCGTTACACAAGCCTTACAGTGCTTACTTTGGGGCTAGGCTAATTGTTGTGAGTGTTGGAAATATTTATTTATTTATTTTTATTTCCTACTAGTGGCCCGCCCTCGCTTCGCTTCGGTGTAGAGCTGTAGTGTAAACTATAGTTTTTGTTCTCAAGCTTGTGCTATAAACAATGACTTTATTTATATAATTACACGTGTTGCAGAATATTTTTTAGACAATTTTATGTAGAATATTTCCGTCATACATGATTTCTATGTAACTTTAACCATTAAGGCTGCACACGCGACGGAAGCTTAAAAAATGGAGTAACTTCTCCCGTTTTCCCAACATTTCCCTTCACTACTCTGCTGCTATTGATTGTAGCGTGATGAAAAGTATACTATAACCTGCCCAGGAGTATGAAGAATAATTGTACCAAGTTTCGTTAAAATCCGTCGAGTAGTTTTTGTTTCTATAAGGAACATACACACAGACAGACAGACAAAAATTTTACTGATTGCATTTTTGGCATCAGTATCGATCACTAATCACCCCCTGATAGTTATTTTGAA